CAAATGTGTCCATGCTGCGAGTATTTGGCTGCATGGGCCAGTACAAAGTGCTAGATGACAAACGCAGCAAGTTTGAAAGTAAGGCAGCATGGGGCATGCATCTGGGCATGGCCAAGGAAAGTAAGGGCTGGTTAATGTGGGATCCTCTCCTAAAAAGAGACATTGTGTCAAGGGACGTGATCTTCTATGAAGACATGTCCCCTTCTTCTTGGAAACTTTCTTTTCCTCTTGTTTCCTCTCAAGTTCCTCCCTTCTCTACCTTTGCAGATTTCGAACCTCCAACAATCATTCTAAGTGGAGTTTCTGCATCATCACTGCAGCAGCAACACGAAGACATGTCTCATGCTCAAGACCAACAACAACCGCCATCATCTTCTGCTCCCACCCCTCATCACCAAGAGCAACAGCAGCAGCAGCCGCCACCACCTCCATCACAACCAAACCAGTCAACCGCTCCACCTGTTCTTTCCTCTCATCCTCCTCCTCAGCCCCCAGTTAATTCGCTTCAGCAGCAACAACAACCATCTCCACCCGATTTACCTCCTCCTCTTCAATCTTCCCCCACTCACCAGCAGGACCAGCAGCAACAACAATATCCTCCTGGCTCTCACTCTCTTCACCCATCACTTCCACCTCTCGTCGTTCATCGACCCAGTGGTTATCGTCCAGCAGCCCTTCTTCACCTTCCAGACCATCTTCAACCCGTACCGTCAACCGTGCAGCCACCACCAACACAACAGCACACATCTTCCCATCTCCAACACCTGCATTCGACAACTCGCCTGATAGAACTTCATCAGAAGACCATTCTCAACCGGTAGCACCACCTCCCTCACCCAACCGGATCGATATCAACTACCCACCAGCGATGAGCACGTCGCACTTTGCAGCACCATCTTCATCTTCTACTTCGTCATCTGCGAACTTCACCTCTCATGTGCCGGTGTCCACTTTCACCTCACCTCCAAGTCATTTGTGTAGTGGTCGCACCTGCTTCCAATGCAGGATTCACGCCACCTGTTTCGCCATTTCCCAACTTCCACCCGAGCCTCTCAATCGCAAAGAAGCTATGGCAGGAGCCTTTAAGGAGCAGTGGTTAGCAGCGGAAAAGGCAGAACTGGAAAGTTTACTCGACCGGGGGACTTGGACTTTGGAGCCACTACCCAAGGGAAAGAAGCTCGTGGGAGTAAAATGGGTCTACCGGGTGAAGGTGAAGGGTGATGGATCTTTGGACAAGTTCAAGGCTCGTTTGGTCGCCAAAGGATATTCTCAAGTTCCTGGAGAAGACTACAATGAAACATTTGCTTCGGTCGCCAAGTTCACCAGTGTCCGCGCTCTTCTTGGTATGGCAGTACGAATGGATCTCTACATCATCCAGCTGGACGTCTCCAACGCCTTTCTTTACGGCATTTTAGAGGAAGAAATCTACATGGCTCAACCTGATGGGTATCATGATGGTACTAAGAGAGTCTGCAGGCTACACAAGTCCCTGTATGGCCTGAAGCAAGCTCCACGGGTTTGGTATCACGCATTGGAGTCTGCCCTGCTGGCACAAGGTTTCACCCAGTCTGAGTATGACCCTGCACTCTACATCCTGCACACGGAGGTGCATGAGGTACTGTGGTTGATCGTGTATGTGGATGACATCCTCATGGTGTCAGGTTCTCTCTCCCTTCTCACCCACATCAAAGGTATGCTCACCAAGGAGTTTGTCATGACAGACATGGGTGAGCCATCATATTACCTTGGCATGAACATCATTCGTGACCGTCCTTCTCGCTCTCTATTTCTTTCACAAGAGCGATACATTCACAAGGTCCTCTCTCGCTTCGGCCTTCTCACCTGCAATCCTGCATCTACACCTCTCCCTTCTAACTTCCAGCATTCTTCTCCTTCCACTTCTGACCTTCAGCCCTCTCAGTCTGCACCCCTTTCTGACTGGGACGAGTTTCACGAGGCTCTTGCGCCTTCATCCTCTTCTTCCATTTTTTCTTCCACCAAACCTCCCTCATCACTCCTTTCCCCCCTCGACATTAATCTTTACCAGAGCATTGTCGGTAGCCTCATGTACGCATCCGTCTGCACCCGCCCCGATCTCTCTCAAGCTGTGGGCATGCTTTCTCAATTCCTTTCCTCACCATCTACTCAGCACTTGAACGCTGCAAAGCGTGTCCTGCGCTATCTCTCCGGCTCTAAATCATTTGGTCTCCTCTTTCATGGACATGAGCATGGTAGTGTCTTGCATGGCTTTACGGATGCGGATTGGGCAGGTCCATTTTCAAAGCGTAAATCCACGGGAGGCTACATGTTTGTGATGGCGGGAGCAGCGATTTCTTGGCAATCGAAGAAGCAAGGCTGTGTGGCACTATCTTCAACGGAAGCGGAGTACATGGCTGTGACGCAAGGAGCAAGAGAGGCTGTGTGGTTGCGAGGGTTGCTGATGGAGTTGGGTCTTCCCCAGCTTGAGCCGACCGTTCTCCACATTGACAACACGTCGGCAATCGCCTTGAGCAAGAACCCGGTCTATCATGGACGCACCAAGCATATTGATACCCAGTATCACTACATTCGGGAGCTGATTAAGAACAAGGTTGTGACACCGGTCTACTGCAGCACCACGGACCAGGCTGCTGATTTTCTGACTAAGATACTTCCACGGCACCTATTCGTCCTTGGACGCCACCGTGTTGGATTGGTGCCGCTCGAGTCTCTTGAGTCCTTCTCCACTGCTGTCCCTTCCGCTCCTTCTTCGTCTCGCTCTGAGGGTCAGCAGTGCGGGGGGGTGTTGCAGTGAACTGTGGCTGCTGCTCGCGTGGCACCAGGGTGGCGACGTGGCGAAATTTTTCGCCGCAATTTCCCCGTCAGCCAAAATCCGAATATGCAAAAGGCATCTTGCAAAAATGCCCACTCGCCACCACACCCTTCCTATCTCCAGACAGCAAAAACCTACCAATCAAAACCTATCAATCCTCCACCTCAACTCTCCTCCTATCCTCATCATCTTTCTCATCCCATTATCCACCAATCAAACAAAAGATTCCATACCAAGCCTTCCAATCCAAGCCACATTCATTCCACTCACCAAGCCTTAAAATCAAAGCCAAATACATCCCATTCACCAAGCCTTAACTTCAAGGCCACATTCATTCTCTTCACCAAGCCTTCACTTCAAGGCCACATTCATCACCCCCATCTTATCCAACTCAACCAATCACAACCATTCATCCTTTCCTCATCCTTCATCCAACATCAAGCTCCACCAAATACAAAAGGGTCCTCTTCATTTCTTCAAAAAAATATTCTTCAATGCTACTTCATACCCAAACTCTCAACAAGTTCTTCAAACTCCCTCAAGGCCAACCTCAAGTCCTCCTCCTTATGCTCCAACTCCTAAGGCTTCATCATCACCACCAACCTCTCCCAACCCAAGCTCATAGCCATATGCTCCAATTCTAGAGAAGTTTGTGCCACATAGTTTTACTTCTAGATCATCAAGGATAGTTGATCTCAAGATCCTACCATGTACCTCCCTTTGATTAATGTACTTTAAAGCTTCAAGCAAGATTGGTGTATTCTTCTACCCAAGGTCCAAGCTCCAACCTCAACATCCAAGCTTGGAGGTTTCTCTTCATTCAACAAACATTATCTACAAGTCAACATTCAAGATCAACTTCTCAACATTCAAGCTTTGAGGTTCTTCATTAACAACTAAGACAACATTTAAGCTTGAAGTGAAGATCAACTTCTACAACATAATAGTAAGAACTCTTTTCAAGTAAGTGGTTATCCCTTCCTCTCATTTTTCACCAAGTTTCTTTTACATCAAAGTTCATTTGCTATTATCAAGTTGTTTTATATTCAAGCTCTTTCCATAATAATCAAGTTCTTATTCTCAAGTTCGTTACAAGTTCCTTTCAAGTATCTTTCAAGCCCTTTACCTTTTCTTCAATACTTTCTTTTAAGCCAATCTTGTTTGGTCCCTTTTATCCCTATCAAGTCTATCTATCTTCTCCTTCAAAACTTTCTTCATTCTTAATTACTCCATACTTCAAGATTTCCTTTCAACTTGTTTTTGCTTTTCAACTTGGTTTTACTTTGATCTTACCTTTTCTTTCTAGGTGTTTTCTTTCTTTCTCCTTACCATAAACCCTCCCTCGTCTATAACTTCAATTTCAAAAGATGTGGGTGGCTCCGACCAGAAAATCTGCTGCGTGTAACACACTCCTACAAGCTGCTCGCGAAAAGTGAAGGTATTCGGCTTTGCGAACAATTCGCTCTAGCTAGACAATCGCGAGCTCATCGAGCGAGATCCCGCGAGTCGGTTACTTCGGCGAGAAACAACTTGCTGCATCGCGAAGCCCACGTTCCACACCCTGACGAACGAAAGCGATCTGCTGCCTCCTGCATGTTATCCTTAGTCGAAGTCGAGCCATGAGTCCGAAATTCAACAGACGTAGCTTTTCTTGGAGAGCTTCCATGAAACTCGCTTCTGTTTGCCACGTGCCATGACGTTACTTAGCTTAGGAAGCATGGCTTACGCTCCCATGCGACTCGTTCCACACGACGGCACACTCCAGAACTATATATCCTGGATTGTACCGTAGTCACTGTGTTTAGAAGGAAACCATATCACTACCGCGCTGACAGGAGCCTGCTATGCTGATACGATTGCTCCGAAAAAACTGCTATGACTTTAATCCGCTTCCATCCTAGCATCCTCGCCCTCCTTGCCGTTCTTTCAGTGTGCCAATGTGGGAGAGTTAACGGGTGGTATGTGCCGAAACCAGGGACCACGTTCTTCTGGCAACTAAGCGGAACAGATGCTGGTACTACTGATTGTTCGATTTCCTTTTCGTATTGTCTTTGTAAAACCCTCTTTGCAATTAGCTTCATTATGCAAAGATCTAGCATTCTCGCATTGTCGGTTACCTGATATTAGAAACTATAATTCGCGATCATGTTCTGATTGTTCGTACATGCTTCTTTCGGAACCCCATTAGACGTGGATCCAACGCACCCGGCGACGGTCTACACCGTTGACTTCAGCCTGACGGCGAAGAGCATCGCGAAACTTCGCAACGCGGGAAAGGTGGTGATGTGTTACATCAGCTTCGGGACCGCCGAGGAATACCGCAGCGACTACAACCAGTTCCCGAAATCCGTTATTGGAGGACTCGCTTGCATGGTATGATACCTGATATCGACCTTTTTTATCAGTTCACAGACGTTATGGATTCTTTCTTGCCCTTTCCAGCGATTCAAGAATCACCTTTCGCGATTTTGACAGGCTTATGTCGAGAAATTTCTGATTACGCTTTTCGTTTTCGTCATGTGTCGACGAAATGCTTTCTGCCTGTGAGCAGAACGAGCAGTGCACGGAGGTGTGGCCTGGCGAGAGGTGGCTGGACGTCAAGAGCCCAGTTGTCAAGACGATCATGGAGAATCGAATCAAGGTGAGGCATCCACACTCTCCCTGTGTATCAACCCCCTGTGATTGGGGAAGCCGGTTACCTATGTGTGGCCTGGAGAGAGGTGGCTGGACGTCAAGAGCCCCATCGTCAAGACGATCATGGAGAAGCGGATCAAGGTGAGACGTCCACACCTTCCCTCTGTATCACCTGCCTGTGATTGGAGCAGTCAAGGTTATCGATGTGTGGCCTGGGGAGAGGTGGCTGGACATCAAGAGTCCCATTGTCAAGACGATAATGGAGAAGCGCATCAAGGTGAGGCATGTAACACACGGACGAAACCGTAACATATGGAGCTGTTAACACTTGTAGCCTTATTTCCAGTGCTGCACCATGCTGAGCCATACCATGCTGAATGAATTCCCATGTTAACAACCTATGTCTAGCTCCTGCAATCTGTTCCACCCACCCTCTTTTCATTCCTGCATGTCAGTTGGCGAAGAGCAAGGGGTGCGACGGGGTTGACCCTGACAACATCAATGCCTATTCAAACAACATTATGGCTCATGCCATCAGCCAATTCACCATCACTGCCGATGACCAGTTCAAGTACAACTCATGGATCGCCAACACTGTTCACAAGTGAGTGATAGAGCTTAGTGTAGTCCCCCAACCCTCTGCCCCTCCCTGTTCCTCCCTTTTTTTTACACGAATCCCTTCACTTTCAATGCTTTCAGTCCTCCACCCTTCCACCTCCAAAAGCAATCCCTTATAGGCCACCCTTCCCTCGTTTCCGCCACCCTTGTTCCCTTCCTTCGTCACATGCTCCCTCCACTTCCCCTTCTCCTCCCCCCTCTCTTACCAGGTACGGCATGTCAGTGGGTCTCAAGAACCCTGGCCCGCTCGCGCCCTCCTACATGGCGGACCTCTTTGATTGGGCGATCATCGAGAGCTGCATTTAATTCAGCGACTTTAACAGCGGCGAGTGGTACAGTGGCAAATACCAATGCGACTACTCCAACGAGTTTATTGTGCGCAACAAGGCCGTGTTTTCTATCGAGTATAAGGAGCTCTGGGGAATGTCTGCGAGCCAAGTGAACGGAATCGCATTCCCACAGGTGAGTTTGTGATGTCTGTGATGATAGCCAAACGCATCATTCCCTTCCAGCATAAAGTTAGTCAAACACGAGGTGAGGTTCAATCAATCGCAGGGTTCATGTTCTTTTCTGCAGCCATCAGCGTTTAGTCCCCTTCTTGCTCTCTCTCACCAGAGCATGGGCGCAGTATGCTTAGGGCCTGAACACCGACTTACGTGAGCGTAATAGTGTATGAACGAATCGAACTGAAAGACTGCTGCCGCTTTCCATCCTTCCCCTCTTCTTCCACCTCTCGTTAACACGGAACATGTGTGCAGTCAACTTCATCATTTGCAATGACCTTCCAGCAAGGTTCAAAAATACGACCGAATTTTTGAAAATTTACCGTAAAATACGGTATCGTATTTTACGGTCGTATTAAACGGTAAAATACGGCCAGACCTTGCATTTTTAGGTTCGTTCAAAAATACGGTCGTTTTTTACGGCCGAATTTTTCAAACGAGATTTTGGAGTTTCCGTGGGGCTCAGGAACATCCCCACAGAAGCTCAGACAGGTTCCGTGGCCATCTGTAATATTCTAGGGTTGGGCTGAGGCCAATGTCGAGATCTGTGAAAGTGTATGGGGGTTTGGGTCTTGTAGATCCAGTGCGGTGACAAGTGGTAAGTGGCGACGAATTGGTTGGGACATCGAGTTCCAACAATTTGACGGGGAGGAAGGGGTGCCTGAATTTGGGTTCTCAGTTCGTGGCGAATTCAAATTGACCAGCGAAATCGCCGATCTGTGCAGAGCTATGGGCGAAATCGCCGATCTGCGCAGATCGGCGGGCGAAATCGCCGGTATGCGCAGATCGGCAGGCGAAATCGCCGCACAAGCGGGGCCGCTTATAATAGTCTGAGTTTGGGGGGGGGAGCGGCTTTTTAGGCCTGATAATTAGCAATTTCTTTGATGTTCACATCCCTAGAAGTGGATGGTAGCAAGTCTGAAGTTTGATTATTATTTTTTTGCGGAGAAAAAAACTCTAACAAAAAAACGGCCGAAATTTTGAAAATTGACCGTAAAATACGACCGTAAAAAACGGCCCGTATAATACGACAAGCGTATTTTTTATCCTTGCCTTCCAGTCAACTCAAAGTCACCCCATCGCCCTCTCTCCCCACTTCTTCCGCCTCTCTCTCTCTCTCTCTCTCTCTCTCTCTCTCTCTCTCTCTCTCTCTCTCTCTCTCTCTCTCTCTCTCTCTCATCAGGCCATGTGTGCAATCAGCAACTCTCACGGGTTCAACACGAATCTCTGCAGTTTTTCCCTGGGGACCGGCCCTCGCTACCCCTTTGCCAACTGCCCGCTGCACAACCCTGCAGGGTGCGATGCTGTGTGGAAGGAGTGTGTGAAGCAGAGTGTGTATTCGCAGTACAAGCAACAGGGCATGGCGAGGTGGGATGCTGTGGGGCAGTGCATGAGGGCTAAGAGAGCAGCTTGCAAATACAAGGCTTGATTTGTCAGAGTGCCTATCACCATGTGCTCTTGGCATCATATATACAGCAGGATGTGTATGCGCAGTACAAGCAGCAGAGCAGGGCATGGAAAGGTGGGACGCTGTGGGGCAGTGCGTGAGGGCTAAGAGAGGAGCTTGTAAATAAAAGGCTTAAAGCTTGCGTCTCATGTTTAGCTAAGAGCAGTTTACACTTGTACCCAGACGCTTACACATACACTTGGTTGGCTACGCACGTCAGTGATTGGTGAAGCCAGGAGTTTACCCCCGCTCGTCACAGATTTCGTCGTTCGCCAACCAGTCACGCAGGCCTAAACCCAACTGGGTTTTGAGCGGTTGTAAATATGAGACGCGAGCTTTAAATGAGGGGATGGGGAAACTATGTTTTTTTGCATGTACGATGTGTACGAACTTTTACAGACAGGCTTCCAACATTGCGCCTTTCTAGGTGCACAGAGATTCTCTAATTATTTTCCTACTTGCAGCCCAACCACTCCCGTTGTCTTCACCTCTCATAGCCCAACTACCGGTAACCCGCACATCCCTTCAACCCTTCCTCGTCCCCCGTCCCTCCAACCTCTTGCAGTCCAATCTCCCCTTCTTCCCCACCACCTGCAGTCCAACTCCCCCATTCTCTCTTGCCTCTCACATGTCAGAATCCCAACCACTAGACCATTGGGATAAAAGGACTTGTTAAGTAGCGGGTCAGTGTGCCCATAACCCCCTAGGCCAACATGCCTGTAACCCTTCCCTAGGATCAATCGGGGATCACCAGTGGACCTCTGACATCACAGTATCACCCAATTCCTCCTGTCTCTCGCCTCAATGGCACGGACTTCTGGTTGCCTCTACTACTATCTTCCTCCCCAAGGCAGCTACGGGAAGTTCGAACAAAGAGGGCGGGCTGGGATGTTTCTTGGACTCTCCAACGCTCGTAAGGCATGGATCGTCCGAGACTTGGCAAGCGACGTGGACACGGACACACGCTCAGCTCGCTTTTTTTATGACCTCATGATTCCGAATGTTGAATCTGTACTCGAACGCTAACGCTACATGGAAGTAGTCTCACCGCACATTGACGGCTGGACCTCAGGGGGAGAAGGATTTGGGTCCGAGTTTGACTCATTTCCGGCATCATCACCTTCCTCCCCCGAAACCACTGAAGTCCATGTCAAATTGTATTTGTTCTCTGTAGGTTGTAGTGGGGCATACCCCAAAGGGTACAACACTTTAGGGTTAGGTAGTACTTGTACTCACTCTTCCTACCTAGTCCATCTTTCTTATGTTCCGATTCTGACATGGTATCAGAGCGGGTCCATCCTCCGTAGGACCGCTCAGTTAGGGCCCACCACTATTTTCGACCTGCCTGAACTGCCCGTACTGTCCTGCCCGAACAGCGTTCCTCACGCTGCCCTGCCTGCGCGGCCCCACGTGCTCTGCCCTGCCCGTCGCGCTGCCCGCTTGCTGCCTAGCACGCGACCCGCACGCTGCCCTGCTCGCGCTCTGCCCTGCCCTGCCCTGCAGCCCGCGCGCCGCTCTGCCCTGCAGCCCGCGCGCCGCCCTGCCCTGCAGCCCGCGCGTCGCCCTGCCCTGCAGCTAGAGCGCCGCCCTGCCCTGCAGCCCGCGCGTCGCCCTGCCCTGCAGCTTGCGCGCCGTGTCGAGATTAGGACGGGTGAAAACATTGACTAAGGGAAATGAGATACAAGAAGATATAGCCAACGCTATGAATATGAAATGGTACACCTAGACTAACATAAACTAATCATATAAAATATATGTTGACACACCCCCATAGTCTAGGTGACGACAGTCCTGTGAAAAGCAACACAAATCTCTGGGTGGGTCTCAAGGACACACACAGTCTGAGAGCAAGCAAGGGTCACAAGACCAGTCCACAAGAACAAGACAAATCTCAGAGTGGAGCTCAAAGTCACCATACACTCCGAGAGCAAGGCCAGTCCGCATGAAGGTATATAGCAAATATAAGGAGATGCAAGAGTACAAGACAAGCACGACAAAACATCTCTACATAAGCAAGTGAGGACGGGCAGGCACAAGGCCAAGCTGGGTGCAGAAGCGCTGGTGGTCATGTCAGAATCAAGAAACATGAATGATAGCAGAAGGAAGTGATAGCACTAGTAGGCATGGGGAGTACATAAAGGGAAACCCTAAAAGGGTTGTACTCTCTGTTGAGTACCCCACTACAGCCTACACAGCAATATGCATTTTGACACACCCCCATAGGCGAAGTGGGGGATAGCAAACACAACAAGCGGTCACAGGACCAGTCAAGCAAAGAAACAAAGCAAAGCAAGCTCAGGGTGGATCTCAAGATCACCATGCATTCCGAGCACAAGAAAGAGACCACAAGGCCAGTTCACATGCAGAGTTTAGCGGAAGAAACAGAGGGCAAGTGAGGAGGAGGAGGGACCATGAGAGGAGAGGAGGTGGTGGGTGGCGGCTGAAGCTGCTGGCACACGGCGCAACTGGAGCAACTGGCACACGGGCAACTGGAGTAACGGTCTCTGCGGCTGGACGAGCGGCACGAGCAACTGACTCACGGGCGACTGGAGCAACGGTCTCACTGGCGACTGGCGCAACGGTCTCACGGGTGACTGGAGCTGCTGGCTTCACAGCGGCCACCCCCCTTCAACCTCCCCCATTTTCCCAAAACTCCCTTTCACACCCCTCGGCATCCCTACTGCCACTCCCTCGTCTCCCCCACACCCTCCCCCCCCACAGCGGCATGCGCGGCAGTGGGAGAGAGAGGAGGAGGGGCGGCAGCTGATTTCTCACACCCGCCACCCCCATACCCTCCCCCCCACTGCTGCACATGCAGGAGGGAGATGGAGGAGAAGGGGGGGGCGGGCGGGGGCGGGGTAGGAGCTGCACGGGCGACAGCAGGGCGTGCGGGCGGGCAGAAACCGTCGCGCATCCAAGGCGCGCGACGGGCAGAAACCGACGCACGCCCGGGGCGCGCGATGGGCAGGAAACCGTCGCGCATCCGGGGCGCGCGACGGGCACGAAATCGACGCACACTCGGGGCGCGCGACGGGC